AATACTTGTGGTTGATTTCTTGACTGATAGAATTCCTTCAGATTTAATTACTGGTAAGAAACCTTATTATTTGTATATAAATCTGCACTTTTGGAGTGTCTGTCCCCTCTGTTACTCTAAACTAGAATCTTCTTGTGGGTAGCAGTAGGCATTTTTGCTCAACCATGTGTGTCCAAGGCATTAGTACAATACCAGACACATTTTAGATGCTCAATAAATATTTGTGGCCTGAATAAGTAACTTAATGTGAGACTGACTTTTATTTGTTTTCTCAGCTCATATCCAGTAAACACATAGTAGTTGGCTGGCCTTTGCTTTTCAAACCTGATCAGACTTGAAGCATTTATTAAATATTCTTTGTATATTTCCTAAAATATTTGGTTTTCCTGTTTAAATACTGTTTTGTCCCTTCATTTGAAATTAAACCATATAGTTGCTTAGTTATTTTGAGAGGAATGGTTTAATCTTAGCTAGAATTCACATAGAACGTGAATTATTTTTCGTTATTATTTGTCCTTTCAGAAACCTTTGATGATTTAACTAAAATTAATTCAGGGGCCCTGCTTCTGTGACCTCAAGTTACCTTGTGCTTCTCCCTAGTGATAGTGCTTCAAAACACTACACTGTATTTGCTGTTTATTTGCTCGTCTCACTCATGAGATAATAAGCTTCGTAAGCACAAGGAACAACTTACTCATCCCAGACGAAGTCACTGGTCCAAAGCAGGTACTACACACATATCTGTTGGATGAATGATTCATGGCTATCCTGGGATCTGGTGAACCTCTGGAGGGCAGAGAGAAAATGAAATTCTTAATTGTACTTCCCACCGTATCTATCTTCTTGCCCAAGACTTAGATGATCCTGAAGAAATAGTTAATAAGCAAATGTATGAATGGATGCTTTATATGGTTCATAATAAACTGATGAAGGAAAAGTTTCATTATACTTTCATAGCATCACTAATTGTTACAAGCTATGGCACAAGCATGTGTGGTCAGACTTACCTGGCTCTGACTGGTAATGCTACTGCTGACAGACAAGTTACCTAATTGCGTGAGCCTCCATCTTTCTCATGTCTTAAATTGAGAGATTAAGGTGCTCCTAGAGTTATCATGAGGACTAAGACAGATAAAATAAATCAGTTAGTTAGAATGGTGCCTGGTACATCATATACAATTCATAAATAACAGCAAAAAAAGTATTGTCTTTTTGTAACTAGAAATCTTAATATGTGGTAAATTCTTTTACTGTTTGCTGCTTATAAGCTGTTTTTTAATTGGTATAATGAAAACAAAGTGTTGAAACTACCACTAGATGTCAGTATTACTCAGATATACAGGAACAGTTCAACCTAATGAGGCAGAGAGCAATTTGAATCAAAGCAATGTCCATAGCTTATGGGTAGTTCCTGATTAAAAATGCCAGATTCCATGCCCATTTCTGATTAGTTCCAACCAGTGATGAAGCTGGAGCTGCCACTGCTGCTCAGCTGAATAGAAAGCAAATGAATGCAAAAAAGGAATTCCTTCAAATTCTCTACCACCTGGGATCATGTCCCAGGAGCCTATTTGTGCTTTCACCCCAGCTTTTACAGACCAAAGAGCAGTCCCCAAAGCATGGATCATTTGGGAAATGCTGTATGTCCCCAGCCCTAACTTGCCCTTGTTACTAGCCATTATCACCACCCCCAGCCCACCCTAGGGGCACCTGTCAACCACATCTCCTAAACAATGAGAGAACTGTGTATCTACCCAGATTGTACTTTGAAAAGAGTGGGGACAGGAGGATGCTTTCCCTCCTAAAACAGCTCCAAACAGAACTCAGAGCACACTTTCTATAGGACACTTAAAAAAAGTAACTCATGTTAGATTTGTGCCCACCATGCCATAATTCGGCTTTGCATTTATTCAACAAACGTGTAGTTCACCACGTGTCCCATGTTTGGCAGGAATGTGGTAGGTGCTGAAGACAAAGATAAATTGCACAGTGTGGTTGAACTCTTTTAGGGCTGCCCCTGAGTTTGAGCTTATCTTCACGGTGAACTAAATGTGTGACCCTGGGCAAGTTTCTTAATTTCCATGTGACTCAGTTTACTCATCTGTCAATTGACAACAGTAATAGTACCTCCCTTCTAAGGTTGTTGTGATGGTGAGATGAGATAATGCATGTCAGATTCTTAGCATCATGCATGGCACATTGCAAACATTTGTGTGATTTCTGCTTGTTAGAATGCTCTTGTCCCCAAGCAGTTTAGTGGAGCAGATAGATGGAAAGAAGTAATTACAATATGAAATAGGAGCTGTGATCGGTGCATAAAAATTTAAGTATGCTTTTGTGGGACTCTTGACTTGCCTCCAGAAATATAACCTGCTTATGGTGTTTTCATTTTTATATTTTAAAGGGAAGGTCCTGGCTTGTCAGTTGCACATGATTTGGAACCTCTGGTTTCCCATTACTTGCTGGATGACCTTGATCAAGTTGTTTGATCAAGTTGTCTTTCCGTGGTCACATAATAATACCTACCCTATAGAATCATTCTAAGGGTTAAATAAAATAAAAAACTGTAAAAGTACTCAAACCCAGTGCCTGGGATATAATATTCTCTTCTTCCTCCTTCTGGGTTCTAAAAGAATGACAACCTTTTAGAGCACATTTCCTTAAATTAAGGGTCTCCTTTTCTTTAACAGTCCATTTTTATTATTTTTAACTTCACGTAATATTTCAATGCAGGCCAGCAAATGTGGCCCAGTACAATACTTGGAAAAGCTCACCTACTGGGTAGAAAATCTTTTCTGAGTAGGAAATTAGCTATATACATGGGTAACTCAAAATCCTTTATCTACAAATTCCTAAGTAACACTCTTAATTTTTACTGTATTTGGAAACCAGTTTGTTTAGATAGAATAAATTTTAACTCCATCCTCTCAATCCAAACTTTAAACACCAAAATATAGAATCTGCATTGAGTGTATTGAACTACTAGAAGCGATCATAAATTACTATTAGTGTCATTTTCCAAACTCTAGGAATGATGAGAACTGGAACAAAAACGCGTGAGCACATTTATACACACATGTAAAAGGTAACTGGCTTGATTTAAGTCCAGAAGACAGAATCGTCATAAATAATTGCACTTCTGATCTGGAGATGACTTTTATGCACTTGTATATCATCACATGTCTCTCCCTAATTTATCACTAATCACACTGCACCAAAATGGCACATATATATACATTATATAGACATTTTATAGATAGATGATAGGTAGATCCATCATCTGGTCGAGGGCTCTCATTTTATAAATAAGGAAACATGTATAACTGTGCTTGTTCTTGTGATTCAAAGGTGTCACTATCATACCATCTCCAAAAAAAACCAGATGTATTAAATATAATATAGTCATTAAAGGTTAGTATTTTCAGTAGACTAATTTATCTCTTGATGGAATATACTCTGCTTCTAATAACTGAATTATTCTAGTAGGCAACACAGATTTGCCCAGACTTCTGAAATGCAACTCTTTTATGTAGCCCACAGCTGATTCAGATATAAAAGGAAAATCAGTGACCCACTTTGCTTTCAGAAAGTCTTCCACCATTTCAGACACTCCTCACCCAAGGGCCTTTGTTCTTTGTTGCTTCCTCAGCCTGGAGCCCTCTTGGCCCACAGCTCACGTCCTCGACTTCACCTAAGCCTCTACTCAGATGTGAGGCCCCCCTGTCTAAAGTTGCAGCCCACCATCATACCTCACACATACTCCCTCTTCTCCTCTGGTTAATTTTTCTACTTAGCACTCATCACCTTGTATGCTACCAAATATTGTATGTACTTCTTTATATTGCTTATCGTAAGTGTCATGAGGACAGGGGTTTGCATCTGTTAGTCCACGGCTGTGTCCCCAGCCTAGAACAGTTCCTGCCCAAGTTTATGCAGGTGCTGAAGAAAAATGGGACAAGTTAGTGAATGAACACGAGCGGGAAAATTCCATGTCTGTTCTGTGAAATAAATGGTAACTTCCTCCCTCAGGCATCTTGGTGTACAGAGCTCACAGAATCATCAAGTCCTGTCAAGAAGCATTCATCTTGCGCCTGTGCTGCCAGAAAAACAAACGTGGCTTCATTAAAGCTTTCACAGACAATGCTGTCGCCTTTGACACTGGTTTTTGTCACATGGAAAGAATCATGAGAAATCTCTTCGTAAGGAAGTTGTATCTGTGGCCAAGCTAAACAGCATTATGTGACAGACATCTGTGAGCGCATCTGCTGTAATTCAGTTTTGCACTTCAGTGAATGTAATGTAAAATGTACTGTGATTGTGCTTGGCATGTGGTAGGCAGGCTCATAACAAGTGCTTCCAAAGTTAAGTGTATGGGTGCCACATTTGTGATTCTTTTAAAGGAGAGAGAGATTTGATAGTCTTTTTCTGGTACCCCATCAAATCTCTCCAAGGGCAGCCACTATATTACTTCTTGTACATTTAGTGGAACCCTCAGGGCTCGAGAGACACATACACAACAGTGGCCAGTGAACTAGAGATTTATATGGGCTAAGACTTCCACTTCCATTTGGAAAACAATGAAATAAAACAAAGATCTTGAAGAAGTTTTATATAACTTCTAGGAAAAAAGCCACAGGTTTCAACTTTCAACCATTTTGCTGCCTATGCTAATTTGTGTTTTGGTTACACTGTATCTTATTTAAGGGTGGTTGTGGTCTTTTTTCTTTCTTGATGATACCTTTTTTCAGGGATCAATGTACTTTTCCCATAAAAAGCCAGATAGTAAATATTTTGGGCTTTGCAGGCTCTGCCATCTGCCACAATTATTCAAGTCTACTGTTAGAGCATGAAAGCAGCCATAGACAATACATAAACAATGAGGGCAGCTGTGTTCTCGTAAGAAAATAAAAACAGGTGCTGGGTTTTGAATAATACTTTCATTCACTGAGATTAAAAGTATTCCTGAAAACTTTGCCATTTGGCCTTCCATTTTGTTTCTTAATTGCATTTACAGAGAAACCATTAGAGTTTTAAACCAGAAATATGCAGCTCTTGAAACTCTAGAAAATATTTCAAAAACGTTTGTCTTTTTAGGTTCCATGTAGCAGTAAACTCATTTTTAGAACAGCACAAACCTGAAGTCCTAGAAATTCATGTCTCTATGACACCAGCCATGCTTCCTATACAGACTGCCATACTGAACATCTTAAATGCATGTTTGAAGGAACTGAAGTGCTATAACTCGTCACTTGAAGTTGAATATTTATCTTTAGAAAACACTATTGGAAAATCCTTTGACAAGGTATTCTGTTTCTTTTCCCTTTTAAGCATAGCTTGTCCTGTTAAAACCGTAGAGAATGCAAGTTAATTTAGTATTGCCATGTTCTTAATAGGAATTTGCTGTTATTTTAAAATTAAATTGGAAGTGATTTAAAGTATAGCTTCTTTGGTTTAGTGGAAAGTAATAATTTATAGTGACATACATGGATTGGCATATCTGCATGACTCTAATTTTTGCAGTTATACAGTGATTATCTCTCATTTTAAGTATAATGAAGAAAAAGATCTTTTTGCTCTGAAGCAACCTTTGGATATCTTCAGGTAGAAGAGTTTTACATAAGTGCATTTGTAATTTATGATCTCTTGTTTCGAGTAAATAATTTGGATGAGTTTTCACTATTGAGGAATGTGAAACTTGCTCTGTCCTAAAATTACATTCCGAATTGAGAAAATGGTAAGACTTTAGTTCAAGGAATTTTTATTCTAACTGATTTTTTTCATCATAGATTAATATTAATACAGACACATAAATGTCTAAGATTGAATTGTAGATCCTGAAAATGCTGACTTCTTAAAAATTCCAGGCAACTTACTTTAGATATTTTGGTAGAACAAGTTCCTGCCTTTTTAAACTCTGAAACGATCCCTTTGTGGCTGGAAAAGGAAAAATGTAACTCCTCATTTCTCTGATTCATCCAAAAATTATTTTACTGTGGAATAATGATACATAAGACTAATTTCATGTATTTTCTTCCTCTACTCTTAAAGCTTAGGGCATAGTGAAACCAAAAAAAAATCCCACATCTTCACATTCTTTTAATAGACTGTATATTCCTAGAAAAACAAAATGTAGCCTAGTATGTTTTGCACTAAATCTCTGTTTATCATCCCCTGGCTAGTAAAAATCAAAGTTACTTTTAGTAACCAAATCTACATACAACTTGGATCTTGTTAGAAAATTTAATTTTTGTAGATGGTTTTATAAAACAAGCATGCAAATATATGTCCCAGTATATCTAAGACAGCCTTGGTATCTGCCTATTGTCCTGGAGTAATCATTAGTAGTAGCACTTCATTTTCACAAGAGTTGTGTTTTGAGCAATAAATCTTCTAAGTATTATTCCTGCTCAGTATTAAGTTTGTTAGATAAGATGCCATGTAGTGATACTGCTTTCCTATCATGTTGTGTATCATCTTTTTTAATTACAGAGTCAGTTTGTAAAGGACAGCAAGTGTGTGTGTATGTGTGTGTGTCTGTGTGTGTGTGTGTGTGTGTGTGTGTGTTTGTACACCCACATAACCCACATAGTATATACAAAAAGCTGTTCTGTGTTTTAGGCAACGTTTTAGGATCTTAAAAGATATTCAAACTTAACCCAGTGTTAATTTAACAAATATCTTCCCATCCATGAAGCACAGTGGTAAAAAAATTAACAAATATTTTATGCCACCAAGTTAAGATACATTGTTGTTTAATTTGATACATTGCTGTTTAATTTGATACCACATTGTTTCCCTGGTTTATGCCTTCAGCTTCATCATCTCTCTGACTGGATCCCACATCTTTATCTATCCAGGATAAGATCTCAGCCCACCTTGGCAGAAATTGAGTGTTTCTGAGCTACCTGCTTTGACTTTTCATAAAAACAAACAATTGATTATCTGATTCTTATCAGGTCTTTTCTCTCCTGACCAATAAAGTAAATGTAGATAATTATGAATTGACTATCTGATCATAAAGATTCTAGTGATAAGATACTCTGTCATTTTTGAAAAACATTATTAGAATCTTAGGAACTAAAATTTTCTGTCCACCTCCTTGGGAGATAATGTTTTGAATTTTTTGTATGTGTGTGACAAAATATACGTGAACATAAAATTTACTATTCTAACCATTTTTCGGTACACAGGGATAATGTTTATTGAGACTATAGTGTTAACAGTAGCTATATAGAACATATTTTTAGCAATATTAAATTTTACCCTTATTTTAGACAATCTGCCATTATCTGGATCCTTTGTGGCACCAGCTTGGAGCCAAGACTAAATCCTTGGTTCAGGATTTGAAGATACTACGAACTTTGCTGCAGTATCTTTCTCAGTATGATTGTATCACATTTCTTAAACTTCTGGAATCTCTGAGAGCAACAGAAAAGGCTTTTGGTCAGAATTCAGGTAGGAGATAAAAATGCTAATATTATTTAGGAACTAACTTGAATGCAGTGCTGGGTTTTTTTTGGGAATCAGGTGTGGGGAGTACTGTATTCAACTGCATGGTATACTAAGATTTCAAATTAAGTTTTATGTTCATAGCTCAAGGATGTAGGTTTTATTGATAGCTAATGTTTCCACTTACTTAATGTCTGTTCTGTATAATAATAAATATTCATATCCATTCCAGGCAATTTTATTTCTAGAAAACACTGCATATTACAGGCAGGCCCCAACTTAGAAATAGGTGTGTTCTGGAAGTTTAGTTGTTAAGAACTTCAAATTCATTTTCTCCAAAGAAACAGCCAGAGAGTGTGGGCCATTAGCTATAGTGCTAAAGACTGAAGAGGAGAGATTGATTGGAAGAGAAACATACAAATACAACTGGCCACCATCTTGTTTTCCTTTCAGCCACATTTACCCGCACTGTTTTCTGTCACTGGTTAGATCATTGATTTTCAAAGTGTGGTCCATGAGCCCCTGGGGCCAAGATTTAATACAATTAATAATTTTTACTGCTTCATCAGGAACATTCATGAGTAATAAACTGCAAACACTTAGAACTAAAAAATACATTGACTGCTAGCACACTTTGGTTTTGGTGCCATGATTGTATTTAGGCACTAGCAGTGTTATCCACTAACACTTTTGCACCATCTTTGGAAATGGCAATACAGTGGGAAAAAGTCAAATAATGACTTAGTAGTATTGTAAGAATGGTTTTTGAGGTTACGGACCTGCTGAAAACATCCTGGGGGTGCCCAGGTATCCATAGGCCACACTTTGATATATGTAAGTCACATGACCATCAGAGATTCTTTAAAATGAATCATAAATTGAAGGCTTTTTAAAACTTTTCATACTAGGTTGACTGTTTCTGGACTCCTGCACCTCGATGTTTCTAAATGATCGAGCAAGGGTTTATCATGTTCCAGATGCCAAAATGAGCAGGAAAGGAAAAATGTCTGAAAAAACGGAGTTTAAAGAAGGGCAGGGTATGTCGTAGGCTTAAGTCTTTAAATGTGTCTTATTTCAGTGATTGGTTAGAAGTACTTAACAAGTTAATGTGTGATTTTAAGTCTCCTTCAGCCATCAGAAAATGTATGCCTGTATGATAAATGCATGTTGTATGTAATTCTGTTAAAAGTATTAACATGACAAGTCTTAGAATCTGTTGCTGGGGATTCTGGATAACAAAGACCAAGTATCAATCAAGAACATTCTTACTTCTACTTAAGAACTAGATTGATTTTTTGTAACTTTAGAGTAATAATTGCCACTTCTGTCACTTAAATTCTTAATGGAATATTTTAACATCCCTCTGGGCTTTTAAAAGACATAAATATACTAGAATGAGACAAATATGGATTTTATTCTGACACTCATCTAGTAGATATAATGAATATTGTTTTTTTAAGGTATGGGAGAGGGCAAATGCTTACTTTCTGCTTAGTTCAAAGGTCTAGTTCAAAAGTTAAATATTTTAGGGATGTGTTTGAGTACTTTACTAACAGAAATAAAAGTTTGTTGTCTACTTCTATTGCATGTTCAGGGTTGTGAAAATCATAATGATTATAGAAATAATCAATGCTATATTCTGTTCTGGTTCCTTTATCTGTATAGCAGCTTATACATAGTGTCACAGTTCACAGTTAACACAGAATAATCTAGTATTAGTAACCATGCATATAACTTTCTATTGAGACATTATAAAGCTTGTATTAATGTTTGTTTGAAGCATCTTTCCTTTAGACCATAACTAGACAATTTTCAGGAAAATAGATTGTCTAGCATTATGAAGGCCCCACAAAGGAAAGGGATAAGAGAATGATGCTTGAGTTATCTCTTGGATAGAGGAAACTTGACCCTGCCCTCCCAACTCCCTGCCTGCCTGTGCCTCGCCTGAAAGCTGCCTGTGTCCTTGGATCCCCACCCTCTGGATATAAAATAGTTGCCTCTAAACTTTCATAGTTAATTCTTGTATTAAATTCTTTTGATCATCTAATGTGAGTTTTGTGTTCCTGGCTGCACCCTGACTAATATAAACACCTCTGCAAAAAAGCACATCAAGGTTGACATCACTAAAGGTGTTCCTATGTTTCACTGTTTGAATGTTCTATGAATGTTCTAACATTATTTAATCATTTGGCTATTGGTGAACATTTAACTTGTTTCCAAGTTTTTTGCTACCATAGTTTGTGCTGTAATGAATATATCTGTATATATATGTATTTCTATAGGACAAAGTAAAATTGCTAGGTCAAAAAAGGGGGTATATATTTAAAAAATGTAAATTTAATTTTAATTGCCAAATTGCCCCCAAAATGTATCAGAATCTATACTTTCAACAACTCTGTGCCTTAAGAGTGCCTATTTCCCTACCCACTGGGCAACTCTTTGTCAATAACATAGTGAAAAATGTTTTCTTGCTTTCATTTGCATCACTTTACATTCTGAATGAGATTAACTATCCTCTCATATACCTACTGGCCACTTGCATTTCTCTTGCTGTGAACTGCCTTGTAACTGGTTTTATTTTTTGCTTTATATCATGACCTTTATCTAGAACAATAATAAAAAGCAACATCAATCAGCACTGCACCATAATTACCGTGTTCTATGACTATACCATAATTACTCTTTTATTACTGAATGTTTAGGTTGTTTCCAATCTTTTCCGTAACACAAATTCTTAGATGAGGTGTTATTGGGACATAAGGGTTTGTGTGTGCGTGTGTGTGTGTGTGTGTGTGTGTGTGTGTAAGGTTTTTGAGAAGCATCGCCAGGTTGCCCCATGAAAAGTTCACTCCAGTTGGCACTTGTACCAGCAGATTATGAGGATGCCCATTTCCCCATACAAAGATATTCAGCCCAGAGATGCCTTCTGGGGTCTGTATCATGAACTACATGTAAGGTGATTCCCCTGACTTGCTGCCCAATTAGTTTCCAGAATTGCAGGCTTGTGGCAGCTCAGTCTCCAGCATGAGCAGATTCCTTTGACCATCATTGTGAAGTTAAAAATATAGACTAGCCCTTTTTCCATATGTTCTCTTTATTCCACAGCTATCTATTGAGAATCTGTTCTGTGTCAAGAGGCTTTTTCTTGCCCTGGAGATCTCCCATCAAAACGGTGAGAGCCACAGTTATATCAAACGAGAAATACCATCATACTTAGAAATGGCTTGAGTTTTGGAGAAAGCCCAATTATAGACTGTGTGAACTTGGGCAGGTTGTTTAATTTTTCTGAGTCTCAGTTTACTCTTGCATTCAATTGAGATTACAAAACTGATGTTGGAGGACCTGACGGCCCAGCACATGGAGATGTTAACATAGGGATTAAAAGTGTAGACTATCTAGTCTGACTGATATGGTTTGAATCATGTTTGCACTGCTTACTGGCTTTATGACCACAGACAAATTATTTAACCTTACTTCCCTCCTGGGTAAAGTGGACATGATTATACTTACCTAACAGTGTTATTGAGTAGATCAAATTAGACGATAAATGTAAGGTATTTAGCATAGTACCTACTAAGTGCTCAATTAATATTAGTTATTTTTCTTAAAGAATTTTATTATATAATTTGCATACCTCCCTGTATTGCACTTTGGTTTATTATGCTGTGCAGCTACTGTGTGGAAGGAACTGCAGGTGAGGTAGAAATAGCAAAAGGACTAGAGCTGGAAGTGGGGCTTGAAGATGTGACTGAATTGCTGCCTCTCATGGTAAAAATTGAAGGATGAGGAGTTGCTTCTTATGGATGAGCAGAGAAAGTGGTTTTTTGAGATGGAAACTACTCCTGGTAAAGATTCTGTGACAATTGCTGAAATAACAAGAAACAATTTAGAATATTCCATAAATTTAGTTGATGAAGCAGAGGCAGAGTTTGAGAGGATTAACTCTAAGTTTGAAAGAAGTTCTACTGTGGGTGAAATGCTATCAAACAGCATCTTGTGCTGCAGAGGAGTCGTTCATGAAAGGGAGAGTCAATCAGCGTGACAAACCTCATTGCTGCTGTCTTATTTTAAGAACTTAATCCAGCCGTCTCAGCCTTCAGCAGGCACCACCCTGATCAGTCAGCCATCAGCGTGGAGACAAGGCCAGGAAAAAGAGGATGACCCCCTGAAAGCTCAGATAATGGTTAGCATTTTTTTTTAGCAATAAAGTATTTTTAAATCACTTAATTAACATTAATAATTAAATAAAAGATTTAACTTCTTTTAGACATGATACCATGTCTAAGAGTGTACTTAGTAGCACACATAATAGACTACAGGGTAGTGTAAATGTAACTTTTCTATGCACAGAGAAATGAAAGAATTCAGTTGACTCACTTCATTACAATCTTTACTTCATTGCGGTGGGTGGCCTGGAACCAAATCCACATCCCCAAGGTCTGCCTGTATGGTTATGGGCTGAACTACAAAGTCCATATGTTGACGTCCTAACCCCAGTACCTCAGAATGGAAGTGTATTCAGAGATAAGGTCTTTAAAGGTGGAATTAATTTAAAATGAGGTAATTAGGGTGAACCCTAATCCAGTATGTCTGGTGTCCCCATGCGAAGAGGACATCTGGACACAGACTTGTACAGGAGTAGGACGCCGTACAGATGAAGGAGGAAAGTGACCACCTAGAGGCCAGTGAGGGGCCTGGAACAGACCTTACCCTCCCAGCCCTCAGAGGGAGCCCACCCAGCTGCCGCCTTGGCCTCAGACACCCAGCCTCCAGAGCTTGGCACTTTGGTACAGCAGCCCTAGCGAACTGATATGCACCCCATAGACGTCACCATTTTAGTGTACAATTGAATGACTTTCCGTAAACTAACAGAGTTGTATTATTTTAATATTAGAATATTTTCATCACTCCTAAAAGAAAGCAGCCAGTTTACAGTCACTCCCCATTCTCATCTTTAGGCCCAGGCAACCACTAATTTTCACTCTGTCTCTATAGATTTGCCTTTTCTGGGCATTTCATATAAATCGTCTCCAATGATTAGGATAATTTATATATTAAGAGTCAGCCCATTCTATCTCCTGATTGTCTATTTGTTAAAACTTCTTATATTGAGTCCAAATCTACTGTCCTATAACATACACAGTAACATATTTCTATTTGTAATATAAGTAAGTCAAAAACTATTTTATGTACCACAGAGTAGTTGAAAAGGGATTGAAATAGCCGAAACCACCATTGTAATCATAAATTAAGAAGTTATCACTTTGTTTTTAGCAATCGATAAGGAAAAAGATTGACAAAAGAGACTATAGGGATTGCATATCAACTATATTTCAATTAAAAAACAAAGAGAGAGAGATTATGAGGGAGAGTCCTTTTTTGAGTCGCAGGAGGATAAACAGCCCAGGGAAGATCTCCATACCTGCTAATGAGAAACATTTCTCCGTGGTGAGACCTGAACCGACAAGCCATTCCTCAGAGCTGCTCAGGCGCGTCTGAAAACTAAGCGGGACATTACGTCAAGACCACATGGGCGGGGCCACACCCAGATAGCGGAGCATCCTTACTGCCAAAGACAGTGTTGACACTGCGCAAAGATAGGGCTTTGGGCAAAGTCCCTTTGTTGAAAACCTCCATTTAGATGTAATCTATATAGGGCATTATGTCAAACTTGCAAATGAAGAATTCCTTGCTTTTCTCACCTAGAAGAGTTGGCCTCCTGGTTGACCTTACCAACCTAATAGTAATGATAAATTGAAACTATGTACTATGTACATATGCAGGCATTTGTAAACATTTCTTCAAAAATCTTTATTAAGCACCTGGTGAGTGCCAGGTACTGTTCTCAGCACTTGAAAGTATATCAGTGAGTAAATAAAGGTCTCTGCACTATGGTGCTCGCATTCTAGAAGAGAAAGTCAGAAAATAAACATTAAACATAGTAATAATAAGTAAGTTGACTGAAGTATTGAGTTGGGAGTGTTAAGTTAAAGAAAATTAGAGCAAGGCAAGGAATTTGGGAGTGCTGGGGATGAGCACGGATGAGGCTGCAATTTTATTTTTTTACTTTTTTCAAAAGCATTTTGTGAAATATAGTTGACACATACAAAGCTGTACATATTTACTGTATAAACTTGATGAGTTTGGAGATCCAGAAACATCCTTGAAATCATCACCACTTGCGATGCTATAAACATCACCTCTCAAAGTTTTCTTCTGCTCTCTTTATTTATTTAGTTATTTTTCTTATGAGATTGCATTTTTATTTTTTTTTATTTTTATTTTATTTTATTGTTGATTAAGGTATTATTGATACACTCTTATGAAGGTTTCACATGAATAAGCAATGTGGTTACTACATTTACCCATATTATCAAGTCCCACCCATACCACAATACAGTCACTGTCCATCAGTGCAGCAAGATGCCACAGATCCACTATTTGCCTCTTCTGTGCTACACTGTTTTCCCCGTGACCCTCCACACCACGTGTACTAAACATACTCCCTCCCTCAATCCCCTTCTCCCTCCCTCCCCACCTACCCTCCCACACCCTTTTGGTAACTGCTAGTCCCTTCTTGGAGTTTCTGAGTCTGCTGCTATTTTGTTCCTTCAGTTTTGCTTCGTTGTTATATACCACAAAGGAAGGAAATCATTTGGCATTTGTCTTTCTCCGCCTAGCTTATTTCACTGAGCATAATGTCCTCCAGCTCCAACCATGTTGTTGCAAATGGTAGGATTTGTTTCTTTCTTATGGCAGAATAATATTCCATTGTGTATATGTACCACGTCTTCTCTAGCCATTCATCTACTGATGGACACTTAGGTTGCTTCCATATCTTGGCTATTGTAAAAAGTGCTCCAGTAGACATAGGGATGCATATGTCTTTTGAATCTGAGAAGTTGTATTCTATGGGTAAATTCCAAGGAGTGGGCTTCCTGGATCAAATAGTATTTCTATTTTTAGTTTTTTGAGAAACTTCCATATTGCTTTCCACAATGGTTGAACTAGCTTACATTCCCACCAGCAGTGTAGAAAGGTTCCCCTTTCTCCACATCCTCTGCCAGCATTTGTTGTTCTTAGTCTTTTTGATGCTGGCCATCCTTACTGGTGTGAGGGGATATCTCATTGTGGTTTTAATTTGCATTTCCCTGATGATTAGCGATATGGAGCATCTTTTCATGTGCCTGTTGGCCATCTGAATTTCTCCTTTGGAGAAGTGTCTGTTCAGCTGCTCTGCCCATTTTTTAATAGGCTTATTTGCTTGTTGAGATGCATGAGCTCTTTATAAAATTTGGATGTCAATCCCTTATTGGATATGTCATTTATTAATATTCTCCCATACTGTATGATGTCTCTTTGTTCTACTGATGGTGTCCTTTGCTGCACAGAAGCTTTTTAGTTTGATATAGTCCCACTTCTTCATTTTTGCTTTTGTTTCCCTTGCCCGGGGAGATATGTTCATGAAGAAGTTGCTCATGTTTATGTCCACGAGATTTTTGCCTGTAATTTTTCTAAGTTTTATGTTTTCATGACTTACATTCAGGTCTGTGATCCATTTTGAGTTTACTTTTGTGTATGGGGTTAGACAATAATCCAGTTTCATTCTCTTACATGTAGCTACCCAGATTTGCCAACACCAGGAGTTG